GCTGCAACTGGTCTGATCAAGTCCACATCAAATGCCATGGACCACTTTGATTTTTCCCTTTTTGTTGCATTTCCTATTACGATTAGGTTCCACAACCTAACTGCCTGCTGACTTATTTTTTATACAGCGGAGCGATTGTGTAAGTGATGGTGTTTGGGCCGACTCAGTGATCAAGATCGGGTTCTTCAGCCTGGGGTAGGAATAACCTGCATCAGGTTCTAAACTAATTGTTCTCCGAGCAGCAGGACAAGTCTATGGCATTATTTATCGTTTTTTATTCATTGTCAGATGCCGTAGTTTGTAGTCTTTAGTCCATAGTCCGATCTGATGTCATCATGGGATGCCTCTCCAGCTGCCGAAAGTGGAATTGGCCTCCATTTTTCCTATCGATATTGAACAGAAGTGAAGTTAGAAAAATTGAGCATGCATTGGGGAGAAAAAAGATCTGTGGACAGCAAAGAGGCTCTTTATGGTGACTCTCCCTATTGCCCAGCCAATGTGTCTCGGATCGCTCTCTGATCTGCAGTTTTTCACAAGGTGAGTGTTTATCGGCCCATAAATGTTGTTACTGTAGGTCCCCCAGGCCAATAGGCATTAAAGATCTAAAAAGAAATTGAGATGATTTCTGTAATATTCTCCAGGTAGAAGGCTCAACCACCATTATTTCAGCGTGTTTTCAGCATGTGGGAACACTTCTGTCAAAGTTCCTGGATCCGGAGGTGCCGATATCAACGAAGCTGTGGACTTGTGACTCAAGATTAAATCCAACATCACAGGTCTTGGAAGTTAGACTCGTAACTTCCCAGGATCTGTAGAGTATAGACTAGTATCTAGGTGGATTCTGTAGACTACGGACTCCAACTGAAATTAAATAACGAAAAATGATCTTATACAAGTCACACCACATCCTGGTTGAGAGGCAAGATAGTTGGGTATGTGCGTAGACAGGGGGATTTGATAGGAGCCAAATAGAGTGTAGTAGCCACTCAGGAATACAACCCAAGGGTGTAGCGCACAACATAGGGTGAGGAACAGTTGGCAATCCAGGTTAGGACACGGCTGCTCCAAGCCAGAGCAATGCTTGTGAATTGACAAGGTAGAATCTACTCTATAGGGGATTCTACCTAGGCTTTATATATGAGTATCCTAGGGAGTCCTATGAGATCATTTTTCAATATTTATTCACACTCCATGTGCACAGTTCTTAGTATTGGGCTAAACAGCAAGCTGTAGTACAGAGTTTCCAGCAAGTCTCCAGTCCTAGACCTCAGTTTCATGAAGAGATTCATTCCGTAGTCTCAAGTCTTCAGTCTGATCAAAGTCCAGTTGATCTCGGCGAGAGTCGGCATCATTATGACATATATGTTCTCATGCTCGTGAAAAGCGACTAAAATGCCTCGAGAATGTCTCCTCTCATGATATGAGTTTTAGAAGGGCTTTCATAAGCTCAAATCAAGTTTCTTCATGTTAATCAATCCTAGTATTGAAGCCATTTATGGCCCATTCATTTTATTGTTTTGTTTTGAATACTTGGGTTGAAATCACACATGTGCGAACTCTTGCAGGGTCAATTTCAGCAGAGTAGCATTCCAGGAATCTCCTAAATATTTATGTATGAAATTAGCCCTGATTCTTGCAAGAATTTGATGCTCTCATCATAAAGAGGATTGCATGCCTATAAAGGATCTGAAGACCGAGAAACCATATGGAAGTCCAGGAAATTGCCAGAATGGCTTGAAATCCAACTTGGGGCGATTAGTTAAATTAAACTGTGCTCAGGGCATTCATTTTAAAGGATGTTTTTGGTAAACTAGAACTCACTAAAGTTCAGAGGACTCAACTCAGAAAGTGCCCAAGATATGCATGACATTTCAATAATCCTCAGAGACATTACATGGGCTGGTAGAATTCATGGAAATGTTCATTTGGGGCACTCAACTCTCGGGGAGATTTTTTCATGGAGGTTTGAATATTGATAGGGGCAGATGTCCCAATTTAGGCAGTCGGTGAACCCCGGCCCGGGATACGTCCGTGATCGAGACCTGTGACTTAGGACTAAAACTTGCATCAAAACTTGGACCTCTGACTGTGAATAAATGGTGAAAAATAATGTCATAGAGTCCAATGAGTTTTGATCAGACGTTGGGTTCCTGCTCCATGGCATAAAGGTAAAGGAGCATAAATGAAATGAAATAGGAGAGGATAAGCTGGTCCATGACAGAGTGTTAGTACCTTAATTAAACCTATAATAACCCCTAGTTATTTTACTATATGACTAGTCAGTAGTTACAACTCCTGTATACAATTCTTTCTTTGTGTTCCAGTCACCCAGGTCATGTTCTTAGAACCCACCCATATCCTCGAGGTAAACTCTGACCATTTGTTGTGCATAGAAAGAAAAACATTTGGTTTGAACCTGGCCTGGACCTGTACCTGAGCCTGTGGTCCAGTCCAAGGTTCAGCAATTTCCCTGCCAGTTCCATGTTCAGACAATTTGGCTGTGAAGCGGACCTGAAGCGGACCACGGAAAGTTGCCATCAGTAGAAATGGTAGCAATTGTGAGAGTGAGGATGTTAAAGCCCTCAGTCTCGTGTACTGCAAATATCTTGTCTCCTTATATAGTACCCTGTCGATGGGCAATGGAATCATGTTCTGCTGTCAATGCTAACATGGTGAAGGTAGGATATAGAGGAGGGTGATCAATCTCTGACTCAAAAATGGTGGGGTGAAGGTCAGAACTCAGAGGCCGCTGAACTTTAATTGGGGGCTCTAGGATTTTTCAACCACATCCATGATGTCCTTTCTGGGGGACATGGTAGGCATATGCTGGTGTTCGACATCTTGTATGACCCAGCCTTGTCCACCTTATCAGGGCTTTCACCACATGTCCTGGTCCTTGCGGAGCTGGTGATGACCGCTCCATCTCTCCCTTGTTTCACCATAAGCTGTGGCCTGCACGTTAGCATATAAGGATATCTGATGTTATAATCTAAGGACTATGTCTCCTAGGTATTCCTCTCGGCCTTGGTGCTTTTTAGAGAGCTCAGTTGTGTCTGACCCGTTTTCTTTGATTTTTTTTCAAAGTCAGCGCAAATTTCGGACTTGGTGCATCTTATGCTTCATTGGGCATCTACCTACAGCACACTGATGGTGAAGCGGTTATCATGCTTGCCTTCCACGCTTACGTAATCCGGCAGGATTACGTAAATTGCGTTAGCAAGCGGCAGGGGTTCGACTCCCCTTCAGTGTATTTTGCTGTGGCTTCCCGTTCGGCACACTTTTGTTCCTATCTCTTTTTTCAGCTATTCGCAAAGTGAATTCTTTGGTCCAGTAGGACATTACATGCTACATACCCTCCAGGAATATTCTTGGTTCTAGGTTTTAAATCAACTTTGTCCGTCACACTTATCAAAGGTCATGTGTTCAACTCCCGCAGGCAGCAATTCTTTATACTATATGTTAATAAAGTCTCCATTCACTCCTTGTAGCGGCCTAATGCCAGTGTAGTATCTGTATTAAACCCACAGGTTCTGACTAAAAGCAATGCATAATCTCTAACATCTAACATTTTATTGCCACCAGTGTTCAGCCACTGTGAGGAGCCACTGAAGGTTGGTGTTGGGGTCACACATTCTTTAGATAATACTAAATTTAGTGACCCACATCTAAGGGGGCACAAGGATTAAAATCCTCCAGGACAATGCTACCCCCAGGTGGAGTGGGTGGGTGGTCTGATTTCAGTGAAATTGAAAATTTCTCTTGCATACAAAAATGTTCTCTCAGGGCAAAATTGCTCTAATTTGAACAGGTTCCTTGCAATTTGGCACCCTAAGCTACTGGATATGACATACCCTTCCTAGGAGTGCAACCTGGTGCAGTGTTGGGTGGAAAGGATAGTGTAGGGCAGAATCTTATTCCACTGTTCAGTCGAAAATTGCAAGAAAGAAAATAATATTTCTCCCTGCCTTATTAGGACATTCTGATCCCTGATGAGGGTGGGTTGTATGGCGGTCCATTTGCACTTTTATTCATCCAGCATATTTTCTGGCTTTTCCAGTGTTTTTCAGTCCTTTTCGCCTACTCACCAACTTTTGCTGAAAACATACAAACTTCTATTCTCACCAGCTTTTTTTCTTTTTGGTCCTTGAACAAGAACCCTTTTTTTTTTACACAACTGCAAGCCATTGTTTTGTTTTGGGGCAATTGGAGTCATCCGAAGACCATGTGACCGGGTGCCCATTTGGGATATCTTCAGTCATACAGCCCCGCACTGTCAGAATCAGAGGCAGAAAGGGACTAGGAAGTGTACCGTAGCATTTGCTTTGATATTGATGGCCATAAATTGTCAGTAGCAATACAAATAGCAGTGTAGAGCTGGGTAGAGCCATCTTGGAGTCATCAGAGCCTTTAATTCGGATGTTTTCATGCTCTGGGGATATTCCATGATGCAGGGCCTCATCAGTGAGACTCAAGAAGGAGTATGAACTGATTGGAAGTGCATCTGAGGATATCCTGAGCACATATGTCTCTGATAACACATAGAAGTTGTGTTATTTGCTAGTATATCTTGATCCCAAATGGACGTGTCTATTCACATGATCTACCGTGCTGTATGCAACCAAAATAAAACTTTTTTTGACAAGGGTAGCAATAGGTTAGTATGGTGGTCCGTTTGCACATTTAATCATCCAGCATATTTTATGGCTTTTCCAGTGTTTTCAGTCCTTTTCACTGTCCTGTGTTTTTTCTCAGACTTAGCAATAAAAGTTTTCTTGGATATCATAAATACATGTTCCCTTGTCTCCCTAACTTATTGGCTACCCTTGTCAAAAAAAAGTTTTATTTTGGTTGCATACCGCACGGTAGATCACATGACCAGACACGTCCATTTGGGATCAAGATATACTAGCAAATAACACAACTTCTATGTGTTATCAGAGACATATGTGCTCAGGATATCCTCAGATGCACTTCCAATCAGTTCATACTCCTTCTTGAGTCTCACTGATGAGGCCCTGCATCATGGAATATCCCCTGAGCATGAAAACCTCTGAATTAAATGTAGAAAATGTTGTATGGGGGAGAAGTGAGGGGCGGAAGAGCAGATGGTTCAGATTAATTTATTCCCACTATCTACAGGCCCTTTATACCTAGAGAACAATGTACAAAGAACAATGTAGATAGAACAATGAGAATACTAAACAATAGCGAACTCGAACGAGTCAGACCAGCTGAATCGTTTCATGGTTGAAACACTATCCCGTGTTTCAACATGCTGTGCATATTCATGGTAACCGTTGCACTGTTTCAGCAACAGTGCCTCGGCTTGCTGTGCAGATTCCAACACTCCCCCTCAAGCCGAAATTAATCCAAGAGCTTGAACAAGCGGCTTGAACTTGAAGGCGGCAAGAGCTTTGGTAAGCACATCCGCGGTCATCTCGGCAGTTGGGCAGTAGATGACCTCGAGAGATCCATCGTTGATCTTCTCGCGAATAAAGTGGTACCGGATATCGATGTGCTTGGTGCGAGCATGGAATTGGCCGAGTTCGGCATGTGCAAGGGCGATGGCGGATTGGTTGTCGTTGTAGATCAGGAAGGGAAAGGTGATTGGACCGAAAAGTTCAGCCATCAAGTAGCGGAACCATATGGCCTCCTTCGCGGCATAGGTAATCGCGACATATTCCGCTTCCGTGGTGGACAAGGAGACAATCTCCTGCTGTTTGGATGACCAAGAAACCGCGGCGCCATTCAAAATGAATGCGTAGCCCGATACGGCTTTTCGGTTCTCGAGCGACATCCCATCAGCATCGGCAAAGATGTCAAGGCCGAGCGTGGTGTCAGATGCGCCATAAATGAGCCCAAACTTCCGCGTGCCCTTCAAATATTGGAGTACACGCTTTCCAGCGCTTCCAATGCGGTAATCCCGGGTTGTCGATAAAGCGGGATAGGACACAGACTGTGAATGCCAAGTCTGGTCTCGTGGCTGTAGCGAGCCATACAAGTCCGCCGATCAGTGCGCGGTAAGGGATGTTTGCCATCTCTGTAGTTGCTTCCGCTGTTGTGGGGCACTGGTCGCGGCTGAGTTGAACCGTGGGATCCAGAGGTACGGAGACTGATTTGCAATCAGTCATGTTGAACTTCCGTAGGAGGGAGTCGATGTAGGTCGTTTGGGACAACGCCAGCGTGCCCTTTTCGCGATCGCGACGGACTTCCATCCCAAGGAGCCAACTGATTGGTCCCAGCATTGTTATCTTGAATATTTGTGCAATCTCCTCCTGGATTGTGTTGATCAATGCGGGTGAGTTCCCGGTGATTGTACTGTCATCAATGTGGATGGCGAGGAGTGCAATGTCTGTGCCTCGGACTAGGCGATAGACGGCGTGGTCGGAATGAAGAGGGTAGATGCCGAGTGTAGCAAGAGCTGCAGTCAACTTCTCGTACCACTTGCGGCTAGACTGTTTCAATCCGTAGATTGTGCGGTGAAGTCGAATGACCTCGTTGGCATTCCCGTTCGAAAAATATGGAGCCTGCTCCATGTATATCTCCTCGTCGGGTGTGAACTCTCCATTGAGAAATGCGGCAGAGTAGTCAAACACTTTGATGTCCCAGTTGAATCGAGTTGCGATGGATAAAATTGTGCGAAGGGATGAGAGTTTGGCAGTGGGCGAGAATGTTTCAAAATAGTCCACGCCCTGGACCTGCGTGAAGCCTCGTGCGACGAGCCGAGCCTTGTATTTGTCGATCACACCGTCGGCTTGACGCTTGATCCGAAGCGCCCATTTAGATCCGATGACATTCCGGCCGATCGGTCTGGCAACAAGCCCATTGCCAAATGTGCCGGTCCTCTCCATCGCTTCCATCTCGTTGTCCATTGCTGCTTTGAACAGCGGCCAGTCCGCCCGTGTCATTGCCTCTTCAACTGTAGGTGCATCTGATTCCCCAATTCCGATATAGGCATATTCCATCCCAATGTTCTCCAGATGAGAATCATCATCCTCCATGTCCGCGATAAGAGCTGTTCGACGTGTCCGCGTGCCCTCTATAATATTCTTTGGATCAATTGTGCTTGAAATGTCCCGAGGTGCAACGGGTGTTCTGGTTGGAGTTGGAGTCAGCATGGATGGAGGTGTGGTAAGGGGTGATGGTGGAGCTGGTGGAGCTGGTGTGCTTGCAGGGTTAGATGTGGGTGGGTGTTGAATGCTCTGTTGATTTTCTTCAACCCTAATTTCCGCTTTCTCCCCCTCATTCAGCACTCTGTATAAACCGCCTCTCCGCTTGACTTCGGGAAATTTGACACTGCGCTCAACACGTATAGCGCGGTTGTCGGGGTAGTAGATCCGATGCCCATCAATGCTTTCAGGGTCGTAACCGATCCATCTTCCCTGGCGAGCGCGGCCATCCAGCTTCGACGCTTTCTCAACATGAACCGACACTTCGCAGCCCCATTCGTGGATGTTGCGCAAGTCCGGTTTCGACTTGTGAAATGCCTCGTAAGGTGTCTGCCCTTTTAAGGCCTTGGTCGATGTCCGATTCTTCAACCAGACCGCATGTTTCAACGCTTCACCCCATAAATTTGCAGGCAACTCTGCGGCATGCAACATTGCGCGCACTTTCTCAAGAAGTGTGCGATTGAGTCTCTCGGCGACTCCGTTATGCTCGGGGGTGTCGTGAACAGTGAGGCGGCGCTTGATGCCTCTCCTTGCTAGGTATTTGTCGAATGCATGGCTTTTGTACTCGCCACCATTGTCCGAATGAAGAATCTTGATTTTGATCCCATGCTCTGTCTCCCATCGTGCATCCAAGTCCTCGAACAACTCCTGTGTCTCATCCTTTGTGCGCAATAGCATCAAGGCTGTATAGCGGGATGCCTCATCGGTATAGGACACATAGTATCTCTTGTGCTGAGGCGTTTCAACAGTGGCAGGTCCCCACACATCCGTGTGGACTTCATCGCCAATATTTCCAGTTGCAACCCGTTCCACAGCCTTAGAGATTGGCTTGCGAGTCATCCTGCCATGCAGGCATGACTTGCAGTCATCTTTCGAGGTAGGTGCCGACTCATCCAGTTCTATTCCCTCCACCAACTCCAATTTGACCAGATTCTTTGCTGCATCAATAGGAAGGTGTCCCATTAGCCGATGCAACTCCTCTGGGGTTGCGACTACCGGTCCGTCGGATGCTATATTAGCATGCAATGTTGGATTTTGAGCCCGAACACTGTAGAGTCCGCGGACGAGTGGAATAGCGCCA